ATATAGGGGGGATATTGGGAGGATATTGGGCTCATGTCCCCAGCTTATGTAGTCAATTATTCTTACGGTAAGTTAGAATGTTATCATTAAACAAAGGGACAAAGGGAAGTTATATAACAAGCACACATACTTGTAAAGGACAGGTTCCCATAAGGCTAATTTTTTGGCATTTTCAGATTTCTCCTATTCGAATAATCTGTCAATACCTTGCCTATAAATTGTCTTGACAGGTAAGTTTGAATTTCGCCCAAAGCGTTTCTTTGGAGGTCTGATTTTGTTTACCTTAAATACAGTTTGAATAAATTCAACTTTCTGTTCAGATTAATAAGCTTTAAGGTGTGTAAAATTCCATAATACTCCAATCCGAATTTGAAAATTTATACAACCCCTGTCTATTTTTTTTATCGGATTATTAGAATTGTACACAGTCACAGCTGTCTTTACCCTATGACTGGTTGAGTATGTTAATCATGATCATAGCTATAAGATGAAACCTTTTGACCCCAAAACAACAAAGGACTAGAGGGGACCTCATCGATGTATTCAAAATTCTGAACAGCATTTTTGATGGAATAGTCACTTTGAACATGTTCCAGATGGGTAACAAACAGCAGAACGACGGGACACTCACAAAATATATTCAAGAAACGCTATCGTCTAGAGAGTAGAAGGAACTTTTTCAGTTTCCATGTTATCAGACAAATGGAACAGCTTACCACAACATGTCACTGATGCAGCCGATGTCAAACAATTTGAAATCTTGTTAGACAATCATTGGAAACGAGACGATAATAGTGAAAATAGAATGAATTGTGACATTTTTAAAACACCAGAAGTTGGTATAATTAATCTCTTTTTATTATATAATAATTTTGTATGGTACAGATACAGCCGCTAAAAGCCTGCGTCTATCATGTATCGTACAAAAATTGTATGAAAGATTTTATGAAGGGATGAATATAGTGGAATGGTCTTACATTGGAAAATCTTTTGAATTTTAAATGAACAACACTCTCACAACACCGTCACATAGGCAATGCTTTGCTGTCTATGAGGGAGATAAACAATTTTGACACATCTATACTGTACCTGTGACTGATGCAGTACAGGCGTGATGGAGTCGGACACGTAGATTATCCGCCCCGTGTCACATTGGACCACAAACAGGAAACCATCTGCTGCCTGCAAAACAGAGCATACAAAATCGTTAGTTTCTTCATTTTCTTACAAATTATGTCGACATTTGAGTTTTTCGTGATCATATGAAGGTGACAATAACGACACCCAAAAAATGTATGTATTTTTTTCAGTTCCTGTTAGAAAGATTAGAGATGAAAACTACGACTGCAAGTAAAGAACCATCAACAAGCTATCAATTAATTTGATTTCGTACATCAGGACACCAGCTGATCAACACGATGTCATTAACGAAATTTTTACGGCCAAATTTGTCTGCTGACAGACTTGACAATCCGGTGTCTGTCGGTATATAAGCACCTCTATCATGTACTTATCAGTGCGCAACAAACTGTTGACAAAGATTTATGGAAAGATTGTAAACTGATCTTAACTTACAATATCATGCTTAAGCTTGATACAAGTAGATTCAGTAATACTCACATACCTTATTTTTTCGCAAATAAAAATCAAAACCGTAATAGTGGAAATGTTCGCGTGTGGAAATGGTCACATTGTGACCCTTTAAACTGATCTCGTCATTGAAATTTTCGCATTGGCAATACTTCTAAAATCTATACATTAAATTTAACTATATTTTTTATATCTGTGAATAAATATTTGTGTGTCGATATTTTCATGTGAATTTACTCACCACAAACAGCGGATACATTTTTCACCACTAAAAATTTCCACTTTTACAATATTTTTACTTATTCACCCCTGAAGACACATTTGAACTGTTCCAAAGCAAGGGTTGGAATAGTTCATTATGAAATTTCAGGGGTGAATTTGTTAACTTGATCTACATATGGACTTACCTCTAATATAAGGTGTTTGAGTTCCTGGTCGGTGAGGAAGGACGGTTTGTAGGAACCGTCAGAATTGGTGTTGCCTGTTCCTGAAAAGATCAAGCAAACACTCATTTAACATCTTGTATTTAAGAACAATAAGTTGTCGGAATTGTAAAATGCTAAAACATAATTTCAACATGGGACCCTCATCAGAACTCTACATGGATGCTCTAAGAATAAGCAAACTATGTTTTGTGATCTAAACTTGTGATCGATCTAGTTCATATTAACTTAAATAATACATAAAAGTTGGTGTGAAAATATAATCTCCAATAGTATGTTGCACATTTAATCTAGCAACTTTTACACTCAATTCAGAATTTAAGGTAAAATTTGACACAGCTCAACAAATGCAATTTCAAAACCTGTACACATTTTTTTAATTTCTAAGCGTGAAATGTTTTTTATTCATCAAGTGTCTTCAGACAAAAAAACAGAAGAAGAAAACATTCACAATGACAAGGTACAAAAATTACCTAAAAAGAAAATATTACTCGTTAATATGTACAGTAAAACTATGTTATAATGTCACCATTTGCCTAGAGCGATTTTGGTGTTATAAAGAAATTTGGCGATATAAATTGAGGAAAACTCTTAAGAAAACAAGAAAAAGGGACCTTGAAATATGTTGGCAATAAGTGAGGTGACAAATGAAACGAGGGACATTATATCGAGGTTTTATTGTATTTTAAAATAGGGCTATAATTAGTTCATAGCTACCCAGGTTTTTCATGTAGCTTCGTTAACCTGGAAAATGTTTTCGTACTCTTCTATGGAAAAAACACTGAAGTGTCTCAACATACAAGTTTTCACAGCGTAACATTTTTTGGTTGACATCTGTCTTTGATATTTTTCACCACCAATCTCTAAAACCGTTTCAGCTTTGACCTCAGTTTGAGCTGGAACCCACATTACCTATACTAGTACCTCGAAGCGTTTTCATGTGGGACACTGCCATTCTGAGGATAGTCAGTTTGTCTGGCTTCCTGGCCAACGTGCTACAGGTGGGGACCATGTCGCAAAGCTCGTTAATGTAGGTCGTCATCTTGTTCCTCCTGCGTCGCTCAATCTCACAGTGGCTCTCCCTGTAATGGGGGTAAACGGAATAATTCCACTTGTGAACAGAACTCAACTTTCAGTTTCATTATTTCATATTTCCTTAGAGATTTATTCTTTTCTTTCATCGCATAATGTCTTATTCCACGAAGTTAATACAACCAGATTTACCTAGAATTCATGCACTGCTATTTTCCATGCTTAGTTACAATATTTAAAATTTGCAACACAGGTGATATATTATAAAGTAATATATAGTTATTACAAAGTTTCAATAATTAAGACTATTTAACATAGAAGCAACATTTAAAATCATTAAGGGACTAATGTGTAAATAATTATTGCAGGATATACATGCCTTTTTATGAACATACAAATGCATTAACAGAATGTTGTAATCAAGACATAACAAAGAGTATGTAAAAGGTTTGAGTACAGTGTATTTAGTGACAGACATAAAGTTGTATATAGTGATAGAAAAAAAGTTGTTTATAGTGACAGAAATAATGTGACAGTCCTGGTGTACAGTGTATATAGTGACGGAAATAAGGTGACAGTCCTGGTGTACAGCTTACAACCTGGCGAACCGCTCCTTGTCCACTTGGTCCTGTGTGAATGACCCGCCCTGCTGACTGTCATCATCGTCAGATCTGTAGGGAACCAAGAAGATTAAGGATAATTTCATACCTCACAGAATTTCACCATAAAGCTGCTTCAAATTAGCTGAAGACTTCAATAGCAAACTAAGCTTACATTAGCTCACATCATGTTTCAATGCTTTTTTATTGTTTTACTAATTTTTACGTCAAGACTTAAAGGTTTTAATTTCCACATGAATTGTTTTCGTAAATCTTTTGATCTCTTGCAGTGTTTAAATTAAGTTCCAGTTTGAAGTAAATTAGTGCATGATTCTGTTAGAAATATCCACATGGAAGGGTATCATAATAGATTTAAAATTGATTTTTCCAACTTTTAACCACAGTATCGGTAAATCTTCCTGTCCACTTGGTCAGAGTGGAACCAGTCTGCAGAAAATTTATATCATTTGACCCTCCCCGATTTTTTTCTTTTCATTTTTTAGTAAAAACTAAACATTGGCAGGACAGCAACAACCGTGCATAGTAAAGAGTTCTTGCATGATCACATATAACATTGACATAGCAGCAGCATCCTATGAACAATAAATGATTTCTCTCAGCCACTTGTATATTTCTTATCTCACACTGTAGACGACCAGCATGTTTCTTTTATAGGTTTTAAACACACAATATGTGCCTTTGATTTTCTGTTCATGTTTTGTTAACTTGATACCAACTGGAACTGTTGTCTGTCGATTTTCATTTTTCCATCTAGAATACATTCCATGTCCTAGTGACAGTACCGTAGTTAACATCTGATAGCTTAACTCATTCCCTCTAAAAAATCTGAAATTTCATAATGAACTATCTCAAACAATGAATTGGAAGAGTTCAAATGTGTCTTCATGGGTGAATAGAGTTAAATTAAACAGGCCAAGTGTTATATGTCCTTACAAAGGGGTCTAGCTAGTGGTAAGTGATGATACTTGAGCATCCTCTTTAAAGACAAAGAGGCCGAGTGGTAAATGGTATTCCTGGATTGATGTTCCATTAGATTTACTGGGTTATCCTCTGATAAGACAAAGGGATCTAGAGGTAAATGCCATTGCTAAAACAGACAGTGGTATATTATACCATAATTAACCGATGTTAAGACAAAGGCCATGCCCAGTGGTAAATGCCCATGCTAAAATGGTGGTACCATAAATAACCTATGTTAAGACAAGGGGGCCTAGTGGTAAATGTCCATGCTAAAATG